GAAGTCACAGGAAGGCAGTATCTTACAGAAGAGCAACTGACTGTTACAATGGTGGTAGAAGTCACAGAAAGGCAGTATCTTACAGAAGAGCAACGGACTGTTGCAATGGTGGTAGAAGTCACAGAAAGGCAGTATCTTACAGAAGAGCAACTGACTGTTGCAATGGTGGTAGAAGTCACAGAAAGGCAGTATCTTACAGAAGAGCAACGGACTGTTACAGTACTACTGCCGGGTTCTGAAGAACTGGGGATCAGCCTACTAGCCTAGGCCGTTCTTATCTTCATGTACTACAGTCAATGCATAGTTGAGTCACTGTGTATACATTGGTATGCTGTGCTTGATGAAATCCTAGCCTGCTCCTTCTTGGGAACTACCCGCCAGTACTGTATTCGTGATTAGAATTTTCCTTGATCAATCATGATTTGGAGAGGAGACAAGACACTTTGATATGACTACGAGTACAAGCGTAACTGTGCATCACTGTAACTAGGTAGTATACAGTGAGAAAGCATGACCACCAGGCACCACACTGACAGAGCACTGAGAACATCGAGGACCTGACCTGACGTGACCTGACCTGACCTGACCGCGTCACTCATACCAAATCATGCCTTCTCCTCTTATCATTGGCTCAGTGTCCGAGTTAGAGTCATTGTTTGTTTAGTGGTCTTGTCACGTGTGTGCATTTACATAACGAAGGGTTGACAAGGAACGAAGATGCATAACTATCGGATGATTTGCAAACCCTTGTATTTTGCAAGGTCTGTTTCAAGCCCGGTGCTCGGAACGAAAACAAAAACAATCCACGGCCATGTCACGTCCTGTAATCTGATGATCACCTATTCATGCGTGAAGATCAGAGTCACAACACGTTCTCCTTCCTCTTCGTGTTGCCATGGGACTTATGATGGAAGCTGTTGCTAGGGCACAAGGCGTGGGCTACCAAACACACTTACTGCCAGCATTGAGCGCTACAGACATGGATCTGGTGGACATTAGCTTCAGCTTGCGTCGCGCCACCCACTCGTCGCCCATCCAGAAGGAGATTTGAAAGAGGAAATACCATGGCCGTGGCACACCATAGCGACCTGTACAAACATGCAGAGCACAGGAAAACATACACAGAGCACTCTACGTTCGTCTCCATCCACTGAGTAATTATTGCTGACGTACAAACAAATATACCAGTATTGCAAGATCTGCTCTCCAGCATACAACTACACAGGAAAACATGCACACAGAGCACTCTCATACAGATTCTATGTTCGTTGTCAGCCCCTGGATAATTATTGAACAATGGCGTACAAACAAACGCATCACACATTCACACATTCACACTACACCTAAACCAAGAGCTGCCCTGCAGCTCACCGCAGAGTGTATGGAAAGCCTAAGAAAATCATAGGTGGCTTCGTTCCTACAGGTGTTGACATGTCTTCTTCTAACTACATTGTACTGAAGTAACTTGATACACAACATATTTCGAACCACCTGGTTTCTACCCGCGCAGGCTTCTCCTACATGTCTGTACTGTAAGTGTAATGCAAGTCTCCCATGCAATGACTATGTAAGTGTATTGCAAGTCTCCCATGCAATGACTATGTAAGTGTATTGCAAGTCTCCCATGCAATGACTATGTAAGTGTAATGCAAGTCTCCCATGCAATGACTATGTAAGTGTATTGCAAGTCTCCCATGCAATGACTATGTAAGTGTATTGCAAGTCTCCCATGCAATGACTATGTAAGTGTAATGCAAGTCTCCAATGCAATGACTATGTAAGTGTATTGCAAGTCTCCCATGCAATGACTATGTAAGTGTAATGCAAGTCTCCAATGCAATGACTATGTAAGTGTATTGCAAGTCTCCCATGCAATGACTATGTAAGTGTATTGCAAGTCTCCCATGCAATGACTATGTAAGTGTATTGCAAGTCTCCCATGCAATGACTATGTAAGTGTATTGCAAGTCTCCCATGCAATGACTATGTAAGTGTATTGCAAGTCTCCCATGCAATGACTATGTAAGTGTATTGCAAGTCTCCCATGCAATGACTATGTAAGTGTATTGCAAGTCTCCCATGCAATGACTATGTAAGTGTATTGCAAGTCTCCCATGCAATGACTATGTAAGTGTATTGCAAGTCTCCCATGTAGTGTAGATGCATTGTCAGTTTCCCATGTACTGTAAGTGCACTGCCAGTCTCCCATGTATAGAGGCATTGCCCCTCTCCCATGTATAGAGGCATTGCCCCTCTCCCAATTACAGAGGCTAGCATGTGCTAGCATGTATTTTGTATTTGTATTTATCGTATTTATAGTATTTCAAGGATTACCCAGAGGCTCTAGGCCTGTCCAGGGGATCTCCTACTCATGTACAGCCATGGAAGACTGCATACATACCATGTACAGCCATGGAAGACTGCATACATACCAGGCAGGACATGGTCCAGGTACCAAGCCAGTGCAAAGTAGATCACACAATCCATGGCCAGGTAGAGC